CAATAGGATTTTCCCTCCTCTCAAAATCCCAAAAAGGAACGGCCCCCAAGAGTAAAAACAATTCTCAATGTGGTGAAAAAGTGTCGAAATAATCTAAACCCTCTAAGCTCTCCTGGGTTTCGCTTTAAAGGAAACACCCACTTACAGCCTGCAATGTTTGTATTGGGCTTGGGTGGTACAAGCCCACTACTTTCTTGATAGTAGTAGAGACTAGAGAGAGACGGATACCCAAGTCTAAGGCATCATTTGTCCAAGGAGGTGCCAACACCTACAAATGCAAATGCTGAAGAAAGAATGTACTCTCTCTGAGGTAGCAATCTGTACTGTGAAGTCCATTCTCAATTGTTGCTTGGAGTAGTCCTCACCACCGTGCACTAATCCTTAGAAAAGGCAAGAATGATGAAATTCGAAAAAAGACATTATCACCTTTTAGCAAATTCTTATTTCTTGAATTCTTTGATCAAATCTTCCTTCGACCCCCATTAGAACAGGCTGTTGTATTAATACCGAAGGCCTTCGTGACCATTGTTAGGGAAATTTGGAAGGTTGTAATGGGCGAGTGTTGTTGATGTAGCTCCTATACGGGTGACCCACTGTAGTATGAGGCTGTGGCCAGAGCTCTTTCTGACGGAAGCCGATGAAAGTGGGCTCGAGGAGCTAGGAGGGAACTTGAACTCTGACACTATGAAAGTGGGAAGTAGTATCTCTCCGATGGTCTGATTGACCGTAAGCCATGACTCAAGCTTAAACCCCTCTAACAGGATAGCAGGCTCGGATGTGTGATGGAAGGTGATGAGGGATGGATTTGAGCAGAGACAAACCAAATATCAGGATATTCAAGCTTGGCTCATCAAAACACTTCGAGGTTTGAGCTCAATTCGACGTAGCAACTTAAGTTCAACTCAAAAGTTCACAAGTTTGAGGTTGGCTATATGTTTGGCTTGATTCCCAAACGAGCCCATATATTGGGCTCAAACTTGATTTAAACCAAATCGAATCAAATGTGAAAAGTTAGATTCATGTCCACCCCTAATATTAATGGCCTATTGTGACATGAAGATAATCGAGTTTGGACCATCCCCGGATGGGATGGTACGGTGCCGCTTGCTCTGTCCGATTTGGGCCGTCCGCGTGCTTTGCCCAATCTGGACCGTCCATCCGACAAATGGACCATTCCGATTCCAATTTTGATTCTGACTGTGAACCAAATGGACCTACTTTCACTCAACTAAAAAACAAGAAAAAAAAGCTTTACAAAAGCAATGGAAGCTAGTACATAAAACAACTCAGAAAGTCAGTTAGAGCCTAGTTGGTATTAGTATCATCCACGAACCGTCGTTCACATTATTGTTTCAACTGATAAATAAGAGCTACTGAGGCTTAGACGGACAATTGAAGCTACTAAAGAAAACCTTCTCTGAAATAAAATGGTTCATTTTTTCCCTTGATAAATAGGCAATACCAAGTCAAAATAATACAAATTCTTTCTTTTTTTTTTTTTTTTACAAACTTCACTCTTTAAAAAAACCCAACCAAATTGTCTACAAAAACCAATCACCAAAGAATTCCCCTATAACGTGTTCACATATTTGATGCTTTATACAAATTGGTAGAGGGGGAACAATATCGGCTCCTCCCACCAACAGTATGTTGCCTTCTAGCCCCCTTACAAAGAATGCTGCCCCAATAACAAAAGAAAAACAAAACAAAATATAATGCATTTGATAGTAAGGAAAATCCATCCCTGCCCCTTAACTATTTTGAATCACCCTAGAGACCTAAAGCATTATACAAAAATATAAATGCAAAGAATATTTTACAAAAGGGGCGTGGATATGGGAGAAACGGAACAAACATGATGAAAATGGTGGAAATGGAAGAATTTACATCACATGCTGACATAGACTGACAAGACTGAAATTCACTGTCTACCTCATGGAACTATGGAAAAATGATGACGAGGAAAAAGATTTGCTGGAGAACCTCATTCCTGTAAAAAATGGAAGGCTGGATTCTCAAGGAGCTCTTCTGCAGGTTTGACATCTAAGAAGTCCTTCTCTTGTAGAGAATTAGATATGTCATCAACTGAGAAGGGAATACTGCATTCAAGAAGTATACATTAGCAGGAACTATAAATACAGAGAGAGAGAGAGAGAGAGAGAGAGAGATTTCACCTGGAACTGTCATCCAATAAAAATGAGTTGCTATCGGCATCATTGGAGTCCTCTGTCATTAGCACCCTCATACTAGAAATGACCTGTAGCAACAAAAACAAATGGAACTGTATGAAAGGAATGCCACAATTAACTATCAGTAGACAAAAAAGTGATGTAGGACCTCTAAGGATAAAAAAAAGTGACTTCAGGGCCTCCAAGGTAAGGGGGGAAACATCTGTTACATTTGAACTTACATTTGGAGATACACTTCGAGTGTTGTACTTGTCATCCCAGTAGAGTGTACATATTCTATAAAGCTGTTGGACGCTCAAAATCTGGAAAGGAATCATGAGTGTTATATAGATAGATAGATAGATAGATAGATAGATAGATAGATAGATAGATAGATAGATAGATAGATAGATATAAAGAGAGAGAAAGAGAGAGAGTGAGAGTTACAGGACAGAGGTCATTGGTGATTTCATCATATGAAATCCTGGACTTTTGGTGTATAACCTGCAGATCAAGAGAACCAAATCAAGCAAACAAGAAAAAGTAGTAATTTTATGTTTGTTTCAATCCACATTGGATCAATGTCCTAGGAAAAAACAGTTTCTTTTTGAAATAAATGATCCAATACCAAATAGATATACCATGTTTACTAATAAGTTGAAAAACTACTGATATACTTTGGATTATTAGTAAGTTGACCAAATATCAACTTCCTAAATGAATTAATCCAGGGGATACAAACATATAAAGCCTAATACTGTAACTTGGACCAGTCTTGAACATTTATGAAATTTTCAGTGACAACTGGGCCCAATGTAGTTGAGATTCTTCAAGTTGGTACCAATTTGTACCCAAAAAGACAAGTACAAAAATGATCTCTTGTGCAAAGACAGCATAAAGTCAAAATTAACTAATATTTTGGAAGAAGGATATAGTAGACTGAAATTTCTTGGTTTGAGAACATAAATTTGAATGGCATATAATTAAGTTGAAGAATTTAATCAATCTGTGATGTAAAGAATACAGAAACACAGTGGTCAAACTTATATTCCACTTGCAGTTCTACATGTACTTGACAAAGTCACATGAGATTGCTGCTTTAGAAATCTTAGAATTGCAAGTTACAGGTCATATGCAAACAGACTGAATCAAATTGGATATACGTAGATCCAAATTTGGTTCATTTTTATTTGAATCCTGTAGAGAACATTGATGTGGGCCGTGGTCCCACTCTGTCCGTAGGGTAGAATGTATCTAGTCACAGCTGTGGTTATTTTGCTATTCTGTTATTTCTAGTTTCAGTTTTATATTGTTTGTTATTTGTTAGCAGTTATGATGTAAACACCAAGGGCAGATATGTCCTTTCATGTAACTAGCATAACCTATATA